GAAAATGGGCTGCTTTCCACATTTACCAGCTCCTTAGTTCTTTTGGTTGGGCACTTGTTGAGTTCCACCCGCTCTTGTTTTGCTCGAGCGGGGAGATGTCTTTCATTATCTTTGCAGTAGACATATTAGCCTCAAAGCTATTAGTCCATGCAAAGTTCAACGAGGGGCTCTTTGATACTTGTTTAATATACATGGCTCAATGCAGACAAGGCACAGGTCCCTCAAAGACCACCCGGTCGACATGCTGAAATGAATTCTGCTCAATAGATACTGAAATTGACCTTGACATTTTGCTGTGTTATTCTCTCAAGATAAAATGCTATTGAGCGAGCAGCAGCCCTCCGCCTGTTCCATAAAAGCCACAGAAACAAAAAGACCTTTACTAGAAATGTGATTCACTCAAGCAAAATAGAAATACTTGCTATCAGTTAAAGACATTTTGTCAGAAGTGTTTTTTCAATTTTATTTGTGCATACTCGAGAGGCCACTTAGAACAAAGAAACGGAGAGAGAAGCTGGGAAATGAAATACGGTTTGAATGGGTTTCAGAAGCTCCCACGCTGAGATAGCGACGGGTCGTGTCCGTTGTTCTGTGGCAGCAGCTGGACACCTGTGGGAGGGGATCAAAGCTGCAGGACCTGTTCAGAAACAGCAGACCGGCCAACCGCGCCATGCTCCGGGGATCAAATGCACGGAAGAAATTCTCCTGGGGAACTGACTCTGTAGGGACACTTCTACACCTCCATCGATTTCTATTCTTCTCCCGCTCAAGAAGAGAGGATTTGAATTAAAAGACAGTGAGTGTCCTGTGGCTGAGAGACAAAAGGATCCTCCTGTTCCGCCCCAGGCTCCTGTCTGCAACATTAAGCAGAGACGGCTTCCCATGATGCCATGTGGGAGACCCACAGGGACAGCTTCCCTGTCGGCTGACTGAGCCACAATGACAAGAACATTAAAAGTAGTGTGAAAGCAGAACTGCTGCTGAGGGGGACAAATGCTCTTCGAGGATGATGCAAAACACTGAAAAAGGTGTATCATATTAAAGCTACATCAAATAAAAAGTCCATTTCATTTAATAATGTCATGCTTTAATATCTTAACTTGCCACTGCTGTCCAGCTCAAACTCATTTTCCATCATGGTGGAATGCTGTGGGGCAGTTTACTAATGCTGACCAACAAAACGACAACCACCTCTTGTCTAATAAATGAATGGAAGGTAGGGGGATGTAATTTTCTGCTTGTCTGCATACGAGGCTGACTTATGCCTAACTCTCTTCCTTCCTCTCATCTGTGCAGATGTGAGCACACACACACACATCCTCCCTCTTGAGCTACTGAGCGTTTTTCTCTGCGGGATATTATCACTGAACCTCTGAAAGGCTGAAGTGACAAGAAAATAAATTAAGTTGAAGAATTTTTTTAAAGTTAAGGAGTGTAAAAGTTTGGCAGATGTTTTCAATATATTTGATCTCCTGAGGGGTCACTTTTCACTAATATGTCATGGAAACTTCACGTCACGATGTTTCAGAGAGGAAAAATAAACAGATTATAATGTGTGTGAAATGCAGATCAGATACCCTTTTGAGGTTGATCTTCATGGAGCAAGGTCATGCATGTTTCAGTGTTATCCTGGAGAAACAATAGAGTTTGATTATTGTATGCCCTCTTTCTCTAGACATCCACATCACCCATGCAGTATACAAATACAGTTTGCATGCAAACTGGTCATTTACATACCAAAATGGAGGGTGGGAGGCACCCTCAGGGTCCCGGCTTTAAGGACCACTGATGTAAGCTGTCTAGTTTCCTGCTGAGGGAGTCAATTCAGTCGACTGTTTTTCTGTTTTCCTTATCAGCCCTCTGTGGACCGACCCTCTCCTTCACCAGAAATCTTGACAGAGGCCCGTTTTTCTCTCTCCCCCATCTTGTTTATGTGTTTACCACAGCACACTCACATCCTCCCTAAATGATAGCCCCTCCACTGACAGCACACAGGAGTGAAATTAGAGAGCAGACATCCCCGCTCTGCTGTTCCTTCAAGCCTCAGGCAGCCAGGGGAGGCTGGGGCAGCAATCAATTGAAATTCTGAGCTTTTTGGCTTCGTCTTGATCAGTGCTGGATATTAGAGGAAGAGGATGTTACCGTAGCACCCAGACTTTGTTGTTATATCACCTGAGAGACGGGAAGAAAGCAGCATCTGGAATGAGGCCAGTGCTTCAGTGAGCTGCGGCATATACATGCTAAAGGCAGACATGATGGAGGGTCTGTTCCTGTCACAACATCAGGCACATCCCTAACAGCTTTAATATCCACAACATGTGGAAAAGTGATAATTCATGGCATATCATTTTATGCCTATGCATATTTTAGCACATCCCTCTTGATGCCATACGCCTGGATCACAAGCACATGTGCTACATCGTATGTGTTCCTGTAAATGTATTCCATTACCGTGATGATCTGAATCTGGTGGTAAATCTGCTTTGTTCATTAATGTATAATGAAGCAGGAAAAGATTAAAGGATATCTCAGGGTTGGGACAACATGCTTCCTGTTCTCCTGAGCTTGGCCATGTCTGTCATCTGTGATAACATTGTACTCAAAGTAATTGCTGACACCTGGGAACACAATGACATGACTTCAAAAGCAGGGGGTGATACAGAAAGTTGTCATAAAAAGTACGGTACATAAGTTTCAAGATAAAAAAAGACATAGTATACATGTCATAACAAAATGTCATCCTATATAGTAAAAAAAAAATGAAAACAGAAAAACAGGCTAGCTCAGCTGGTAGAGCGGCCATCACATGTACATCTTACATGTCAACCCCTCTAGTTTAATAAAAGATCTAAATGTCATAAAAAGTCCTATAAAACCGTTTTTCAATAAGATAAAACATAAAACCTTTTTCTATGTAGTAGGGCATAAAAATATCCTTACTATAGTATTTTATAGTATTTCATAAGAAACTAAAAAGAAAAAAAGTAGTTTAATAAGTCATAAAAAGTCATAAAGAATGTCCTGGTATACATTTAAAAAACAATATAGTCATTAAAAGAAATGATATAGCACACTATACCAGTAGTTCCTTAACTCTTTGGGCCAGGAACCCTCAGCCCTAAACAGTAGGGCTGGAGCTGTAGACATGCAATTGTTAATGATAGAGCACAGTTTACTGAATAATGGAAGATTATTTCACTGACCTACAGTATGGACCCCACTTTCAGGTCCCCTTCTTTGTTAATTAAGATGTTAATTCCTGTGTGAACAGTTCTGCCTCAGATCAAACGTTTAAAAAATAAATGAATACAGAGTGACATTTGTGTAGCTAGATCCTTCATGCTTTTTAGCAGTCCCTAAATCCCAGTAGGTCTCAGAGAGGAGACATTTCCTGCCAAAGTGTTGCAACAGATGAAATCACTTCTCTGTTGAAGGAGCAGTGTAGTGTACGTTACCCGTGGCTGGCAGCACATTTCCAGCAAGGCAAAGGTGGTATGCCCAAGCTGTCTACAACTCAACACAATGTAAATGCACCCTGTTAGCCAATACTCTTTAGAGTGGAAGCAAATGTTGCATAGTGCCACATAAAAGATTACAGTCACCTATCACCATTTATTTTTGGTCCTTACTATTGTTGTCTTGGTCTTCAAATCATATCTTTCTGACAGCCATAATGAACTACTGTGTTACTTCACATATAAATATTATGCAAAATTAATTAATTATCTCTTCTACATTAAACCCATATAACACTGTTATTAGAAACCCATATGACACCCCTATTAAAGCCTGATTACACCATTATTACACCTGTATTGCACCCATAATATACCGATGTTTAGACTCATGTTGCCCTGTTAATACATCCATATTACACCCATGTTACACCATTATTACACCTGTATCGCACCCGTATTACACCTATAATATACCCATGTTAGAACCATGTTACACTGTTACATCCATATTACACGCATGTAACAGCATTATTACACGCATGTAACACTGTTGTTACACCTCTATTACACATGGACACAGCCTGTAAATGAATATCTCCAACAATACAGACATCATTTAAAAGTCAAATGTCCTCTTTCATCTGTTATATCTGTGTGCTATTGTCATGTGTGTGTAGGGGATTGGGGGGGTTAATTGAGTGTATCTAATATTTGATGTCTTCTTATGGCTGACTGTGAGCCTTCTGTTTTAAAATAAAATACAATATATGTTGAAAAACAAACAAACAATAACCTCTTCCATGGTACACATGAACCCAAACCTGCAATTACAATCAAGAAACCAGCGTTTCTACAAGGAATTGAATTAGCTTGACCGCAGAGTGGTTAATAAACATACCGAACATTGATAAAACTTTGGATTCTCTACGTTCCTCTATCACGCTTAAGCAGTTGTATTTGTTTACATCATCTCCGGTCCGCCTGGGGAGAGCAGTTATTTTTATGGCGTGCTTTGTTTGGATGATTGTTGTTGCAAAGAGGGGAAGCGGCACGGTTTGCCCAGGGAGTGACGAGGAAGAAGGAGTCGTGCGACTTGAGATGTAACGGGGAGGATGGGTGGGGGAGGATGTGTGTGAGGGGGAGTCTCAGGCTGCCTTACAGGGATGGCAGTCTGTAATTAATTTTGCATGCGTCTTTCTCCCTCCTCGCATTTGTTTTCTTCTTTTGTGAAGAATAACTCTTTAGGAAGGCGCTACATTTCCAGGGACGAGAGACTGTTAAACATCACGACACATTTCAATGCAAGGCCATGAGGATGAAGTTGCTCATAAAATAGAAATTCTCAATGTTTTTGGGATTATCTACTTTTTCTCGAGCAGAAAGTAATTTGATTAAAATATATAAATATATATATGAAGCAGAATAATCTTGCACAGGTGATTACTTTGACTAATACCTAAGATTTGTATCAACAACATCTGCATGCATGAGTGGACATTGGAGATGAGTTACATGTCTGTATCTGTGTGCTCCACATTGCAGATGAATCTGAGACGAACAGCACTGAAACCAGCAATGGAGGTGAGTACAGGTCACGTTTCTCCTCATGAACCCTCCAGTCTGTGCTGTGACAAATCGCTGAAATCCTGCCACTGAACAGAAACCTCCCTGCCGTCTGCTCACACATCCCTTCCTCCATTTCTTGCTTTCCTGCCTCTGCTACACTCGGCTGGATATTTCTGTCAACATAGCTGCCTGCATTCATAAATATATCACAGTGCTTGTTAGCGTTCTGATTATATGTCAGTGGCGAACCGTGTCTATCACAACTGGACCTTCTGTAGACACACACACACCCCCCGCCGCCTGACGGTTCGCCACTGTTATATGTATAGATGCTCCAAAAAAGTCTGTCTGAAAAAGTTGTTGCTAGTTACATTATAACTATAATCCCACTCGCCTTGATGGGCAGAGAGTTTGTTGATTGGTCAATTGAGGCTTTCTGCACAAGAAGAGGCCAGCAGCTTGATTATCAAAGCCTCTCCTCACATTTCTCCCTCTCTCTTTCTGTTCTCTACTCTTCCCTAGAGGAGATGAAAGATCCTGTGGAGAGCTCAGAAGAACCTGATTCCATTCTTACTGACAGCATTCAGTCCAAAGGTAATGGCGCTCTTATCTCGCACACAATCTATTTAGGAACGACTTGTTGTGAGCGGCCACAGCTGCTGATTTAGAAATCCCTTTATCCAGAGGGCCCTAAGCGCTGAGCAGCTGAGTGCTACCCAGTTCCACCCTCCTCGTCTCCTCTCCCTCTGTAGGGGCCATATTGTAGGATATTTTGGTATAAACGTGTCAGCACGTCTTTGGAGATTGAGTGTGATAAATGGCCTGCAAACTATACTATCAGACATTTAATAAATCAAGTGTGCAATGCATATTATTTTAACATGCAGCCTACACAGGCTGTAGGGGCAATAATCATGCCAATAAATCATATTTGATAAGGATACCACACTGTTGTTATTCTCAGGTCTCCGCTGAGATATAGGGCAATAAGACAGCGTGTCATTTGTATTTGTTCTGTGTGTGGCTCTATAGAGTTGTTCAGCCAAAGAATGGGATTCAGACTTTGGCGCTGTAGTTCCCAGGTAGAAAAAAAAATCATTAAGCAACTGTTGTGAACAGATTGTCAGGGTTGAATAAATAGGACGGACAAGCAGCATATGAAATAACTTGGCAGAGCGGGTGGGGTGGTGGGGAAAGGAGAGAGCTTAAACAATGCCAGACAGAGCGCCAGATTAAAAAAAAGCTTGTTGTTGAACAAGCGTGTGGATCAGGGTGTTCTGCCATATAGAGAGCTGGGTGGCCCATAATGTGCAGTTAAAATGAGCCGTGGTGTAGCATCCAAACACTACAGACGTCCTGTTTTCTGAACAGAGATGCAGGGTTGTTTTTATCTTAAAAAGACTCACATTAGAACAGGATTAGCCTCGGTGACCAAAAGTCTGTGTATCCATCTGTCTGTCACACACGGTATCAAGATTATCACAGATACAATTTTGACAAAACGTTGCCCTTTATGGCCTTTTATAGATACATGCTACAACATTCTGTGTACTGTTATTTACTAACTGGTAGTTTGGTACCCATTTTGGGGTCGATGAAAGTGTCCTATAACCAATCACTGTAGTTAAGGGACATTTGCTGGAGATAATTATTGCTTCAAAAAGTGAAGAAAAGCAGGATGCTTTCGGCAATCCCCCTTAACTTTCCGAAATAAACATTTTCTTTCCACTACCTTAGGCCCCACTCGCGCAAAAAAGGACACAATTGCATTTGTCCCATACATAGACAGATCATCACTATGAAATATCCTTTTTGATTGAAAGGATACCATGGGCTATAAAGCCAACGTATACATCTTGACATTTTACCATTGTTTCTAGTAAGGCTTTGAGAAGCAAAGTCATTCATTGCCATTTCTTCTTAGCCAAAATGATAAATCTATAAAATCTCACAACTAAGAAACTCGAAACATGGAATATTTTGCCAGTTTTGCTTGGAAAATTACTTCAAATTAATCAACTATTTCCATATTTGCATGATTGTTGATTTTGGGTTATTGCCGCTCTAATTCCAGTTCATTCTGTGGTGTGCAATCATCACTTCTAGCAAAGATTGTTCATTAAAGTCCTCAATCACTTCCCAAGTATAAGAAATGGTAATACGATAATATTGCAAAGAGTAATATTAAAGAAAAAGTATTGTGTATTTAATGTAAGAACCAGAAATCCAGCCGTGCAAAATCTAAATTCAGACTTGTTCTCCTTCCAGACACTGTTGAGAAGAAAGAATAAGCAGCCGAAGGAAGGACAATCGACCTCATCTGACAGCCAGCAAAACTGTGCGAAGGCCCCCCCCCCCCGGCGTCAGGAGGCTCATGTCAGCATGGCCCCGGACAACCAGTCACTCACAAGATGCTCACATCCCCAACTTTATTTAGCTTCTTCCCTCCCTCTTAAGAAACTACTCATCCCTGAAGTATGTGTGTACTATATGTATGTATGTACAAAAACCTTACCATAGGACTTGAACATATCAACCCGATAAGATGAGCCATATCTCACTGTGTGTCAGAGTCATGTATCATTTAGAGATAAAGCAGGTTCAAGTCTCTTTCTGTGATCCCCCCCCCCCTCTGTGGGAGCATGGTGAGTCTGTCAGAGGACCCCCCCCACCACACAGCTCCTTATATCCAGGCTGGGTGATGCTTAACATCTACCGTCCTTTTGTTCTCACAATGCCAAACAGTCATGATGACATTCAGCAGTGGAATACCTGACAACACGCTGACACCTGCCATGTCTCCTCACACACTTCTGCAGCCCCATTGTTTAGTCAAATCAGACCCTTGATTCTGACCACAGTCTGTAAGGCGGCAGTCATTCCCCGGCCGTTATCTGTAAACATCACTGATCGATCTGATCTGCGCCGCCGCTGTTACTGCAGCTTGACTCGTATAACCAAGAAACTTCATCAAGGCCAACGTACACTAACCAGGAATTGAGTGTCTGTTAACAAATCAATTGGTTCTTTTCCCTCTTTTTCTTTGCAGTTTCCAGTGCATGCCAGAACAAATTGCTTTGAACTTCATCCCACATTAACAGGAATTACAGTCCTCTTCGCTTTTGCTTGTCTACTTATCAGATTGTCTATAATTGTATTGAAGGAATCTGCCTTATTTCATATCAAACTATTGAAATCACAATCACAGACCGAAGGAGGTGGTCAGAGTATGGATTCTTGGTTGTGTATTGCTTGCAGATGATTTGTAATTTTAAGTACGTCATGCGATGGCTAATGCCTGTTAAAGGTCTCTTGTGTTTCCCTCAGTTGATTTTAAAACATGCTTTTGGTTTCTTTTTAATGTTGGTATGATTCATGAATATTCTTTCAGTGGAGCCATACTAAAGATCCGATTCATTGAAGTTCTACGAAATGATGCCTTCATACTTTCGATGTTTGCTTTGCTAAACTATAACTGAAACAACTAATAAAATGTAAAGGTGGAAGCCATGTCTCAGCTTTTAATGTTCCTTGTCATGTGTCTTGTTTCATATAAGATTTTATTGATTTTGTACTCATAGCGGGTAGAATTAATGTTCCCTTTGTTCTTACATGTTACATGGAACCACTGTGTGTGAAGGAGTGATCACTCGTGTGTCTCTGGGCAGACAAACAATTAGTCTGTCCTGTGATCTGAAGCCTGCTGCCTCTCTGGCCCTCAGGCTCTCTTCTGTAACAAATGAGAAGAGATGTCTCTCACCCCAGAGCACCCCCCCCCCACCCTGCCTGCTCCCTCTGGGATGCTCACTAATGGCCAGAGACCTCACAAGGAGTTTATCAAAGACTCTCCAGAGCAGAACAATTTATCAATCACCTCTCTAATCTTGAAAATAATGTTAGCTTAGCAACTTTTCAAATATTAGGTAAATGTTTATTTATCCTCTGAATCTCTAAACTCACATGTCATTGGCTGGACGGTCTTAGGTTGCATCACTATTGTATATGTTTTAATAATTAGACATATTATCCAATATATACTTTAAAAAGTGCGAATATTGGCACCACTTGCTGCAGTGTAAAAAGCAACAGGCACTAGTTTGGATACTCTCATTATCCAACAAGCAAAATCATATCAATCAGAAGCTGGAAACAAACCTGAGTAAAAGCCTCAGGTTTATAAAAGCTGGAAAACCACCAAATACCTTTTTACACCAACATAGAAATGTTTGTGTCTTCATGGGATGCAAATATTGATGCTACACACACTGGGCTTACAGCCTGGTATCCTGGCAACCACTGACCTCCAGCACGGACACAGGTACTTGCGTGTTCCTTTAGCAAACATATGTGGACAGTCATCAAAAAGAGTTTGCCCTTCTTATTTAGACACATTGCCCGAAAAGAGAAGCGAAGAAAATAAAGTTTGATGTGATGGAGATTTGAAGGAAGCACAGCTAACTCTACTCTATCAGAGTGATGTGAACTTCAGGTGAACTGCAGCCTAGCAAAACTACTGAGTCTAAAATAATAACTACCCTTTCACTCACAGGCCATCACATTATATTGCTGCATGATTAATGTTGAAATATAAATATTCTCCCATTTGAACATGTGACTTTGGCGATTCTAAATCCCAGTTATATCATAAAACGTGTTTAAAAGAATTGTGCTACTACGGTGAGGAACAGCCACTGGTTAATGATAAGAATCACTCATTGCATGCTCTCATCTTGAGACTGTTAACAGCATATTATCCAGATGGGACAGACTTGCTCCAATTTGGTCAGATCAGAATTCACTTTCAAACCTCCTTATTATGGGGTAAAAAATTGCTAAGTGTGTCCCTGTATTTATTTCAGAGCCATCCGTGTGGCAAATGAATGAGAAAAGTTTTCACAGTACACTATTTATACATTTACGATAACAATTGAAGCAGCAGAACCAGAGGAATGTTCTCTATTATTCCATGCATTTTCCTTCTTCTCCTCTTTTGTCCTAGCCTAGCGACTACATTACACTTCTTGAGGCTCTGCACTTTCAGGTTTGTTAAGCTGAACGTTTCGAATGAAGCGTTGAGCAGAAAAGAGGAGTGGATCACAAGCTGTACAATTAGAAGCTGTATAAGAGTGATTATTTAAAGGGGACATATCATGCTATATTTGAACAATATATTGTAGGGCCATATACCTATATAAAGTATATAAATATCGTTTTTTTTTCAAAATACCAAACAGATCCTGCATTTGAGCCATGCCTCATTTTGCTCTATTTGCTCTTTCCAGCGCTGTTTTTGCAGGGGGCTGATTCTGTGAGCTGCAGCTGACCACGCCCCCCTGCAGGAGAGGGGAGCGTGCTCTGAGATCAGCTGCTGGGCTGTCAGAAGAGGGGGAGAAAAAGAGATCTCCGTCCTCCGTGTTTTATTCTTATAGAAGTAAGAAGAGAAGTGATGGGGCAGAAACCCTCCTTTTTACGCAGCGGTCCAGACATAGACATCAAACGGCGACACGTATTCAGTTGCCAGGTACTTTGGCATTAGGGTAGGGATACCTAGATACTTTCCAAGGTTTGACATAATGAATTGTGCTACTTTTAAAGCAAGCAACGATGTTTTCAAATCTGTAATCAAAAAGCTCCTCAAAAACGCTATTGAAGCAGTTCCTGCCATTGCTACGTTAGTTCAAACAGTAACAACAAACTATTTTTCTTAGCGGATGCATGTCAATTTAAATCAATACATACAACTATTTTTTAAATCAATAAAATCATTTTCTAAATCCATAAAAGCATTTCAATTAATATTGGGAGTCATATCGTTACTTTGTTGAGAATGTGGCCATGTAATAAGCGGGATAATGTGCTGTCATTATGGGGATAAGAACACCGACAGGCTGATCTAGATCCCGACGCGAAGCGGAGGGATCTAGATCGGCATGGCCCAACCTCTCATAGTGGACCTCCATGGGACCTTATTTCGAAAAAATTATGTATTGAAGTCAATGGAGAGCATATTTTCCGTCTATGACGGATTTTTTTTAACAATGACGGACATATCTGAAAGCAGTCCGTCATTTTGACAGAATAGAACAAACTTGGAACAGCGCCAAAGTTTCCCCGCAGCGAGGCTCCGGTGTTATGCCGTGTTATGCATGCCCTCCAAAAAGGAAATCATACCGCCACAATAACTTTGTATTATTAGTGTAGGACACTTATGTATGTACAACATCTGAAGATGTGTAGTTTTATTCATGCTTTCACATCATTTTACAGCATATTGCTATACTATTTCAGACTCAGTATTTACATTCTTATATTCAAAGAAAATCAGTAATATCTTTAAAAACTACAAGTCCTTTTATATCAGCTGTGCACCGTTATGGTGTAAATATAACCTATCTACGAATTAGATCAAATGTAAAAGTCAGCCGAATTAGTGTTGATACTGCAAGGAGACGTATTGTGTGAAGAGAAATTGAAGATGTTGTTTAATTGTTGATATATTTATGATCCACGTCAAGTATTCAATTTCGGCGGCATTTCTTCCAGTTTTTCCAAAGGTCTTCTCATCAGGGCTCTATAATTAAAGAACTATGGCAGATCTGTAATATTTAATGCAGCCGAACCGTGTATTACAATGCCGTTATGTGATGACTTTCAAAGAGAAAAGCAAGTACACTCGGAATTAAGTATTATTTTATTCTTTTAAAATGTTTTACGGATTTCATATCATAAAAACACCAAATCCCAGCATGCATTGCGGCTAATACATCCAATCAGCGAGCTTAAACCATAGCTGAGGATCTTGGGTAATCGCTTGAAATGCCTACGTCTGTTTCCGGTTATTTTTATTTTGAAATTCAGTTCCTGACGGACGCCAAAAAAGCACGAGATTATGAAATTAAAGCAATAAATACAAGCAAAGATAATTGTGTGTTATTGGTGAGTAAATAACAGTGTGTTATTTTGAAAAGAATAACAAATTAGAAGGAAGAAAAGATTTTTAAAAATACAGATTTCAGTATCCTGAGGCTCTGAGCCCCATTTATTTTCCTCACAGACTGCAACAAAAGTCCGAAATTATACGATTTAAAATAAAAGCAATAATTGTGGCTTGATATTGAGTAAGAACATGTTTTTATGAACCACACAGCTTCCGGTCTTCAACGACCCGACCGGAGAAAAAGACGTGCTGCAGGCACAAAACACATTACCCGTAGAAATACATTGCTTTTAAAATCGTTCTGTGCAACACGAAAAAAAAGGGGAAAATCGTGTTGGTGAACACGAATCAATAGATTAAAAATCGTGTTGGTGAACACGAAATGCCATGAGACTGGGTTGTGTCTTGTCAACAAAACGATTGGCTACCCTCACTATCACCACAATGAAACACGTCCAGATGAATGTCATGCAAAGCTGCCTGCCTGCCTGCCTTCCTTTGATTCTCTCTGAACTGCCTGGTATTTTTAATGTTTAATGTCAACCATTTGTGCAGATAGCATGAAGTAGAAACGATTGGCGATCGCCGATGCTAGCGTTAGCATTTCTCCCCCGGGCTTAAATTGTGTATTATAGAATGTTCACACCGGTGACAGTACTCTTCAAAGAGTTCACGAAATATGACTACTACTCTTACTGTTTAACATTTTGGGTTACTTAATGTTACTTCATATTAAGGCTAATAAAAATGACAAGGCAGTAATGCTAACTAACGTGCTAGCTACTAGCTAGGTAGCTAACTTGATCCAGCCACTCCTGGTCCTTTCATCAGACAGGAAGCGAAAGAACGAGCAAGACCCATTGCTGGTATGATAACAACCTGGTACTAAGCACACAGGCATCTTGTTAAAGTTATCTTATCTTAGCCAGCGCCATATAGATAGATTATAGCGCTGATCTTAGCTATCTCTTAGTGGAGGAAAACAATTGTGACATCATTTACGCGACTCTGGGATTTGTAGTCTTTCTAGTTGCGTATTTTTCATAGTCTTATATTTCAACAGTTTTACGACAAACGGTGACTTTTTTGACATGGAAATTATTTTTTAAGATTGACAAACATCATGTGTAATTCATGGCACAATTCAAAAGGGATCAAAAGATACGTTTTGTCTCTCCATTGACTTCAATACATTATTTTTCCGAAATAAGGTCCCATGGACCGGAAGTAGATGGGCGTGACTTTGCCACTCTATTCCCCTGATAGGTGGAGAATTGACCACTAAGCGGAGCACCCCTTTTGTGACGTAGAAAATCATTCAAATCTGGATCAGTCTGTATCAGATCCGTTACAGCTCCTTTTTTAGAGATTTGGGTATGGAGGAAAAGAGAGAGGGTTGTATTTTCTGACACTTGGTGAGTTCCCTGACACACCGGGGACACATATTTAGTGCGAATGCTGTTTACAGCATTCCACTATAGTACTTCAAAAATGTATTCTTCTTCCCCTTAAACAAATTATTATTTCAGCCAATACTTTGGCACTCCATAACTTCAGCTTATTTTCAGCTACAGAAACCATTCAA